AGATGGCATCGAGAATGTTGGATTTACCACTACCGTTGAGGCCAGTGATGGAGTTGAAGGATTCGTCCCTACAAAAAGAAACAGATCAGTTGCCAGCAAAGTATCACCATCTTAATCTGTGCATACCATCCCGAAATCACCGTACGCACAGCGTACGATTTGAAGCCCTGTGGTTCAAGTCAACAATCACTCATTCCCGGCACTCTAAGTACACGACTTACGTCAATGATAATCTCCGTAATCCTCATGGTTGCGACTCTGATCCAGCCCCATGAACTAGAATATCAGGTGCATAGATTATGGGGACCGAGAGGATGGTATTCCGGATGTTAATGTCTGGGGAGTGTTTTTGCGGGCGGTGTTTTGCCGTCGGGTCGCATCTGTTTACGGTTTGCTCTTTCGGGGATGGTGCGCGCTATCGGATAATGTAATCATGGAGGGGTTACACGTGATGCGACAGGGCACGTCACCAGTAGCCTCGGGGATATTCTAGACCGTTGAGGTTGAGATCGAGATTTTATTCAATGGAGACTGACGCTTGGGCTAACTGGATCTGTTAATTTTGCTTCGATCAGTGGCATTCGTGACCACACATTCTATGAGCGTACGTACGTATGTGGGCTAACTACTTTGGTCTATGTAGCATTAAAGAAGAACCTTCTCCAAGAACTTGTCTCGGTGGCGCAATTGGTAAGCTTGCCCTTCAACACATCATATTATCACTCAGTTACTAATTCAATATCACAGGTTAGCGCGTACGACTGTTAATCGTGAGGTTGAGAGTTCGATCCTCTCCCGGGACGCTTCTTTTTTGCATTTTTATTCCACCTCCAGGTGGAGCCATGGTCCCGTTCCGTTTCTTTTTGTTCCTCTAGAGATCCTCAAGAGACTGTTGCGTCCTCACGTAACAGTGGGCTGTTTCGCAATTTCTCTAGTCGACTAGGACTTCATATTAATGGTGGTGTTTGGGGTTCTAGCAAGTTTAGGTCAACAAAACCAGCATTGTTCGATATAGTTCCGCTATGCACCTTGGCCCTAGGCCCAATATGACTGGACTTGGTGATCCAATAGATATAGACCGGACATATATATAGAATGCTCTCTGGTCATCCTATATGTCTGTAGCTTCCCTCGTCTGCCTAGCAGTCTTGCCAGCTGTGTGGCCGCTGGGTACTGTTTCTTTGATCACATCAGTGGATTATCCCATCTTATGAGTGGCCGGGACTGCATTCTACCTGCGGCTTTCAGGGAACTAGTTAGCATGCGTCGGCTGGGATCCTTGGCTGGCAATTGATATTAACATCATCGCGTTGATGCGGCTCATTTCTTGAATGAGATAGTTGAGGAGATTCTTCCCGGCTTCTAGCGACTTGGTCTTGCTCTTGTAATTACTACGGTTGGTGTCAATATGTCCCGCACCGCTCTGGTTTTGGACGGCATGATGTATTCTTACTTTTCAGTGTTGTTTGGCTTGTAGTTGATCGGTTCCGTCTGGCATTCAAGGGTGTAGTGTTTTGTCTCCTTACTGTTATAGCTGTGTCTATTGTCGGCTGGTAGGTTTTTTTTTCTGTCCATTCCACTTGCTTTGTGGTCCTCCGGGTTGACCATGGACAAAAATCACCATCTATTAGTCTGTGATATAGAGCCTTGGACCAGGACAGCAAATCAATACGTCTATCATCCATTATTAGGGGTGATGCGGTCAGGAACATATGCTCAGGCCTTGTGCAACTCCAGCCTCGGTGAGGAGCAGTGTTTTACTAGACACTCTTTAATCGCTCCTGGTGTGTCTATGGGATGTTCAAACAGTGCCCATGTTTACTGGACATGTGTGTATCCCAACATATCGGTGAATTATCATAGGATATCTGGATGAAATGTGTCCTTCTTTGGCTCCCATCTTAATCCTTTCTCGGGGCCCCGTCGTGCAGTGTGCAGACGATGATGGCTTGTGTCTGGTTGTTATTGGAAATAACACAGACATCGGGGCTGTGCATAATTTACCAGTCATCGGCATATGTGCTTTCTCCCATATTGACTCCATCGAAGGGACCTCGTACTGGTCGATTGTAATTTGTCCCTCGGTTCTCTTGTATGCCAGGTGATGTGGTCCTGTGCCCTTCGTGCTGGAGGGCTCGATTCGGGCCAGATTAGGGAGCTGTTGCCTTTGGTCGTGCCCTTATCTTACCCTGCGGGGTGGGTATTGCTGTAGTTGAATGAGTGGCCTGTCTGCATGGATTTAGTGGTCTTCCCTGGTCGTGGTGTGCTTTTTTTATGGCATGTAATCAAGACTTGCAGCCGGCGGAGCATCTAAATATACAGAGGTAGATCTCTAAAACGGGTGCATGACCTAGGGCTCAACACGCATAGAAGATCTCGTAACAATTAACCAATAAATTATAAATGATCTCACAAAATACTGTAGACGTACAAATTACCTAAATATGCAGTCGCTGCCGAGTCAGTTTCTTGGACGTGGTTCGAGCTATGTCGATTCCATTCCCAGATCCGGTCTATCATAGTCGTGCATTGAGAAGTCCAAAACTCGAGGCCGGCATCAACGAGTTGTCTCGGTGGCGCAATTGGTAAGCTTCACTTCCTCATACAATTCAACTCCATCAGTTACTAATTCAGCATAACAGGTTAGCGCGTACGACTGTTAATCGTGAGGTTGAGAGTTCGATCCTCTCCCGGGACGTCCACTTTTTTGTCTTTTTGCACACCACCAGCTTGTTCTTTCCGAATCAGGGAACCAATGAATTGAACCAGTGATCACTCGAGCGGAAGAATGTCTTTATTTTTGCCGGTAGGGCACAAAAATGAAGCCATGACAGCGCTGCCATACACGCCGTGTTGCGGGTCACTATACCCCTTGAGCCTCAGCAAAAGCCTGACGTTTGAAAGGTGACCACTCGTATGATAGCCGTAGTCCACATAGCCAAGGGCTGACCAGGAACATGGACCTTGACGGTATGTAACCCAGCTAGATTATATGAAGATGGATCGGTGGGGGATATATATGGATAGTGTGTTGAAACATTTAAGGACCGGAACAAAGGCGACGACATGAGATCACCTGACATAGATAATTCCACAATGTTCTGGACTCATGGTGAATGCTCCTTTCAACCCGCGCGAGAGATCCCGGAACACTGGTCTGGTTCTAGGTTATCCCAACAAGCACCATTGCCACCCCTGTCAGGCAGCTAAGTATACTACTAGCCACTAAACCACTACTGGCTAGCCAGCCGAATGACGATGAAATTTCACGGCTGTATGGATACTGTCTCAGGTGACATGAGATGTTAAAGACAACAGTACGGAGTATGCCGTGGCAAATAAGAGCCACCTTGGCAGGCAAGTTGGGAAGATTACCCAAGATGACCTTACCCCATACATTTGACTCGATATCTACCATCACTCAAATCGCATCTACAATGTACCCTTATCTTAATGTTGATGTTCTTCGACCGGGCATAATCTCAACACCCATGACATAACAGCCATTTGTATTGGGAACAGCATCCTGGCATTGATGGCTGATAATGGGTGATGTTCATTGCAAAGCCCCTCTTCATCAAGCTATAACTTGATCCCTGCAACAACTGAGTAGTCTCGGTGGCGCAATTGGTAAGCTTCACTTCACAAATACATTTCATCTCTCAGTTACTAATTCAATATTACAGGTTAGCGCGTACGACTGTTAATCGTGAGGTTGAGAGTTCGATCCTCTCCCGGGACGCTTCTTTTTTCTACTTTTTGCTCGTCACCCTTTAATTTTTTTTGCCGAGCTAGGCTGATAATCGGATGACAGCCTATCTGTCGCGCCCTGGTCTTGTCTTCCAGACAGCCGGTGATGGAAATTCTATCTCATCCAATCATTCCGTGGGTGCAGTTGTCGATACAGGCAGCGGAGCTGGCCACCCACTCTCTACCGCAGGCCCTTAATGCGCTACTCACTACTCTGAAATCAATTCAATGACTACAAGACGCCTGGAGGCTGCCCCACCCAGAGCACCCTTTCGACTGTGGCCTCTTCCTGTCATCTTTCGGGTCGTTACCCGCAGACAGACTGTCTTGGAAGCCGATCAACTAAGCGCTCTACAACTGAAATAACACTGAAATCATAAACGAGACGCTGTCTCCCCCGTGCCTGTTTCCATATCCATGGCAGCCTTTACATTGATTGAATATGGTTTCCCTGCTAGGTAGCAAACGTGCTTCCTGCCCCCCCCGCAAAGCGCCTGCACCCGGGGAGACTCCTCGACAGCCAACTTTAAACGACATTGTCAGGTGCAAGCTTTGGAATAAAAGCTATCGACAGCAGTACGTAGAGGCCAATGTCCGGCGTGTAGACCCTTGAGCCATATCGGCCCTATACCACAAGCACCGAAATACCGGTTAATCCTGTAGAGGATCAGTGAGTAGCAATCTACTGACAATCTGACAATTCGGAACCCCGATTGCGATCTAATAGGTTGGCGCTGCTCGTGTTTCATTCGACAAAGGGATTGCCCCAGGTAGAGATCCACACCTGGGCTAGTATTCATACTGAAGAAGCTAAAAGTATCGAAGCTTTCGACGTGACTGCTAGGAATTAGTCCAGATAAAAGAGCCAATTGATAGGACATAGGTACCTAGACCAGTTTTCGCTAGAACTACCTTCTAAGAATGCGACGGAGGTAATATTCCGAGTTATGCTCCTATAGACTGATGCCTAGCCCGTCTTCAATGTCGTAGCATCTATACCTATTGAGTATAAAGAGTAGCAGACCAGCAACATCCTCCCCAAACGTTGTTGCAGAAAACAACCTAAATGCAACCAATATATTACCACCCTCAAAAATTAAAACACCGAAAATAACAAAACTTCATCATCGATGGGAGCTCGAGACAAACGATTGCTGTTATCGGATGGATGCACCCGTCAACGAAGCCAAGGTATCATTCGATTAGCTGCCCCTCATATAGCCCATCCATGCAAAACTCTTCAACGAGTCGTCTCGGTGGCGCAATTGGTAAGCTTGCCCTTTCAGAAATTCATCCCATCATCCAGTCACTAATTCAGCATAACAGGTTAGCGCGTACGACTGTTAATCGTGAGGTTGAGAGTTCGATCCTCTCCCGGGACGTTTCTTTTTTCATGATTTTTTTTGCCCTACCTATATATACACTATTACTTACACAAGGCTAAATAAATAAATAAATAAATCAATGCTTGTTATCTTCTGCTATTGTGCTGTATTTTTAATTTCCTCTTTCGATGGTCTTAATCGGTTGGAACTGCCAAGATTCTGAAGTAGCGTAGCTCGGTATAGCATGCATGACGGTTACGGAAGTATACGAACTCTCTGGCAACATGATCGAAGACAGTAGAATATCAAGACCTTCAGACTCACTACCAACATGCCCACTCGGTCTAGAACCCAACCATGCAGGTCATCCTACTACCTAAGCACCACATAGCCAATCCCATAATCCCATCTAATGCCCCCAAGGTGCCCACGGAGACATATCGGAGACATTACTTCTCGGCCACCAAGCACAGCCCATCTCTCTCAATGCCAAACCAAGGTATAAAAGGCCCCTTGATTTCAATCATTCAATCCTCATTCACAGCAAATATTTTCCCATTCCAATTTCCTAGTTACCTTCTTCACTGACCCATTCCCAAATCCAAACCCCAAAGACACATCCACATCCCACCCATTCAAAATGTCCAAACTCTCCCCCACCGCCTACTTCACTTCCACCTTCGTAAACCGATACTACATTGCCGAGAAACTCACCGGGGCGTTCGTCCCCCCTCTGATCGAGCACTCCGGCATCCTGGCCCCTTCTCCTCATCCCTGCGTCATCCTTGACAATGCCTGCGGCTTGGGCATCGTGTCCAGCCATCTGAACCGCACCTTCGGGGATGAAGTCAAGAAGCAGTGGACTTTGACCTGTGGGGACGTGACAGAGATGATGGTGGAGCATACCAAGTTAAGGATTGAGAGAGAGGGGTGGGTTGGTGCGGAGGCGAGGGTCGTGGATGCTCAGCGTACGGGGTTGGAAGCGGGGAAGTATACGAATGTGTTTACGGCTTTTGGTAAGTTTGGTTGATTGATTGATTGTTTCTCCGGGGAGGATGTTATGACTGACGTATATTTGATGGTGTAGCGTTCATGATGCTTCCTGATGCGAGGGCTGCGATGAAAGGTATGGCCTTTTGGAAGCATGTGTTTGTTCTGAATTAGAGCTGATAGGATGACAGAATGTTTCCGTGTTCTGCAGCCGGGAGGTGTGCTTGCGACTTCGACGTGGAAGAGCTGTGCGTTACTCGTCCCCTGTTTGAGATCATGTACTGATGATAGACGAATTAGCGAATTGGATCGTGCTTATCAAAGAAGCAATCGATACCATGCCTGGAGGGCTCAAGTTCCCTAACATGAAAGAGTTCCTGGCTATGCATAATGAAGGCTGGGATGACGAGTCATTTGTAAAAGATCGGTTTGAAGAGGAGGGGTTCCAAGATGTGAAGGTCACTACAGTAGCCAGGGAGACTTCGTTGACTATATCCGAGTTCATGGAGATTAGCCAGAGTGTCATTTCCATTGTGATCGGTGTGTTCTGGACTCCTGAGCAGCGGGAGCAGCATGAGGCGAATGCTCTGGTGGTAGTCAGGGAGTATGTGGAAGAGAAGTTTGGGGCCGATGGGGTGGTTAGGATGGAGCCGGTGGCGGTCATTGCGGTGGGAAGGAAACCTTAGGAGGCCTTTGAAGACTGCCATTGGTAGTTCTGTTAGTTTGAATACATCAGTAGATACGTGGCATCCGCCATCAGTCATTGAAGTCATTTGATTCGATAAATGTCCTGTCCTGGACCAACCACTAAGCTTAGAGAAACACCTGTTGCTCGGTAGTACAACACCTGAACCACCATCTGGAACCTGGCAGTGAACCTAACGCCATGCTGATCCTAGCCCCCATCTTCCTCAGACATTCATGAACCATGTGGAAATCCAACCCGCGCAAGACCCCGGTTGGGATCCATTCGGTTGTCCAGATCCTCGTACCGAAGGATAAACTCGCGCTGTAGCCACCTGTCAGCTTACACCGATGGAGGAATGTCCTCAAGAAGAGCAGAAGATAGACATACTCGGACCTTCTTCCAGGTGGCAGGGTCCCACAGAAGATAGACGCCCCGCTCACTCACGCCGCGCTCGACGTCAACCGGGCCGGGATATGTCTCGTCGCGGGTAAGCCAGCACCGTTCGATCTTGTGGTACCTCCACTTCCGACCCATCAGTTCTTCCGCAACGACTTCCTGCAGTATATCCCTAGGCATGCTGTAGAATATGTAGAACAATGTCTCATCGCTGAAGCTCGGAATCCGCGACTGAAGAGGCTGAACATTGGCAACGCTGTAGCATGACGGAAGAGCGAAGTCCTGCTCCAGAGGAACACCCGACATGGACGCAACAAATGGGGAGGCGAACGACGTATGTAGAGGTCTAGAACGTGTGTCAGCATAGCCTGATGAGCTCGGGAGACATGAGATAGAACATACTCCGGTTGGTTCAAATCCAGGCCTAATGTCATCAGATCCTGCCCTACCGCGAGACTAGAAACATCGGCATTATCGCTATGGATCATCCGCAACAACCCTGCAAGCCCGAACTTGTCGAGCTCGCTCATCTCGGCGAATGGTAATTGATCAGTATTTTGCGCGGCCCCTGAAGCCTCCTTCCCAGTAGCGGGAAACCCCGGCGGTCGCATAAGGTGTTGTTCGTTGTAGGCACTTGGATTCGATATTACGCTGTTATTCAATTCCTGAACCCGACTCAGTAACGGAGCAAAAGCGCGGGCGGCCACGGTCCTTACCTCCTTTTCTTGCCCTGGAGCTCTGCTAGACCCCTGATTCACCGGCGATCGCGACGTTTCAATGCCTGAACAGAATGTTTAGTTGAATGTCGGTTTTAATGATTCGCTGAAACATACCCCCTGATCCTGCATTGGCAGGCGACATTATCCGCTCTTGCCCGTTTACCGACGCGGCGACCATGCTGCGAGCTTGGGCAGACTGAGCCTGGCTCACCCCCGTGAACGGAAGGCCACTGGTGTAATTGCCAAGCCCTGCACTTTGCATCAACGATCCTCTCCGATCCTGACCTAGGTCCGTGGGGACATTACGCCCGAGTGGGGGGAATTCTTCGATGTTGCCGGTCTGCGGTTGGCCTCCAGCACCTAATTGACCGCTAATCCCCTGCCCGCCATTTCGAAAATCGTCCAAGCGATTCGCAAACTGAGCGCCCGAAGGGAATACATCGTCATGAGAGGGTTGGGATGGCTGTTGTGGGTGATGGGTTTGTGTTTGCGGGGCTCTTGAGGGTGCTTGGGATGTAGCATGCTGCGGCCTTTGAACGGGGGTTTGCTGCATCGCCCGTTGGCTGGCGTTTGCCCATACTAAATGACTCGGATTTTGGGTCTGCGATTGCGGCGGCGCTCCGGATAGCGAAGGGAAGTCTCTGGGTAAGATAACCGGAGTTCTCAGCAATAAGCTCGACACGTCCTTCAAACAGGCCGGCCTCAGAGCCCCATCCTGGAAGAAAGGAAGCTATACTCACGATAGGTCCAAAGGCGTAGCAGGTTGGGAACCGCTCAGACTCTGTGCAAACGTTCCCATCGTTCCTATGCTGCGCTGCTGGTTGCCTTGTATCCCTGGCGTACCGCTGACGGGTAAATTGAAATTCCAATTCGCTCCGCTGCCTGTTCCGTCCGGCGCCGTTAGCTTTCAGGGCGATTCTACCAGTCGAGGCCAGACAAAAGTCGCACCAAGTTTGCCGTTTGGCAAGCGCGCCGACGCCAACGCCGCATTTCGAGCTTGTGCTTGTTGTTGTGCGGGGAACCCGGACATGCCTCGCAAGGGCTGGGGGCCTGGTCCTGCAAAACCATAACAGCGGTCAGCGACATAGCCAAGGTGATTGACAAGGCCGATCAGAGTCTGGGGGGGGCTTTAAGCAAAGCCGGGGGAGGGGCTTGGCATGGTGTTGGGGAGGATATTGCGGTCGTCGTGGGAGATCCATCTGTGAGTGGGCTTGCAATTGAAGCCAGGAGAGAAACGAGCCGTGGGTCCAAGCACCAGCCGCCCTCCACACCGCACCGTGAAGCTCGACGATGATAGAAACAAAAGAGACCCCCGATCGGAGACTGCTGGGGTTGCCGTAGCCAGCCCGATCGGGAGGACAAAGGGAAGGACGTGAAAAAGACAAACCTGGCCTGTTCATAGTGGAGAGTTGGTCGGTCGAGCAAGACTGATGAAAGATCAAGGCTCTGCGTCCAGATTTGAGGCGATAATCAGCGTAAAAGCAAGCAAGTGATAAGAAGTCAATGTGCACTAGGATCTCTGCCCACACTCTGTTGCGACGGCTCTGGGAGGTGGAGTGGCTGCAAACGCGCGCTTCCGCATGCGCACGGACCACACGCAGCCGCCCGTCCATATCAATGCACGCCTTCTTTGTTGCCAGGAAGCACACGATCGCACCCGGGATGCAGCAGGTGAATGAGCTTCTGTGATGCGGGTGTTGGCTTTCCTCTATGAAGTATACAAACAGGTGAGCTGACGCCGCTGCAGGAGGCCAGCATAAGTGATTATGTACATGCTCCTCTCCAGCTATCTATATACTCTAGTAACAGCATCATGAATGACATTCTCCTCAGCTAGACCATGTATACTCCCCCTGCCCAACCCAACATAGCCAGTATAAATGCCCCGATCACATGTATAGAGAGCATCGCATCTATTTTCCAACCTCGAGTTTCTCCTCGCGCCGTGCATGAGGCTGTCCTCAGCTGGTCGCACCGTACCACCCCCAGCCGCAGCCGCGCACGTGACCTAGGCGCCAAAAGTCCGTCCCGTTCGCTTTTGATCCCGAGGCCGCAAGGACATCATCCTCCACCGAGTCCCTTCGCCGTCACCAGGCTGTCCTTCGGTCACAATGCATCGTCAGTCGGTTTTACGGCTGGCTCGCCAGAGCGGTCTCCCGCTGGTCGAATTGCCCCCTCCCTACCTCGCCCCGTCGCTCCATTTCTCCCTGAACCGGTCATCCGTCCAGTGCTCGAACTTTTCTTCCACCGCTCCTGTCGCCGTT